ACTGTCCCTCCACCCTCCCAAGCATGATGTCCCTCTCCAAGGACCCGTCCCTCCTGGCAACATGTCCAAAGTATGTCAGACGAAGCCCCAGAATCCTTGCCTCCAAGGAGTAGCTTGGTTTAATCCTCTCCAAGATGAATCTGTTTGCTTTCCTGGCAGTCCATGGTACATTCAGTACCCTTCTCCAGCACCACAGCTCAAAAGCATCCACTCAGCTACAGTATTTTATATCAACTAGCTAAGGTATTTTATAGTCTCTGAAGCACTGTTATCTTGCTGAGGATTGCTAAAAAATGGCTAGAACAAGGTCATGGGGCCAGGGAAGCCAGAATCTGCTTCCTGTGGCAGAGCAACTGCCATGGTCAAGTGCCTGGTCCAGATTATTGTGCTGGACGTGCAGGGAGTGAGTGGCAGCCACAAGCCTGTGCTGTCTCCAGCGTCTCTGGCCTCAGCCTTTAGGAGACCCAACAGGTTCTCAGTGTCTCCAAGCTAAGATCTGTGAAAATCCAGAAGAACTACAAATACTTGTTCAAGGTGAAGGACAAGTCCATGGGAGACTCCTTCTGCCTGATTTCCAAGATAATACAAAGGAGCATATTGAGAAACTAAAAATCCAAGTCCAGAACTAAAAGAAAATGTGTCCAGGACATAACTGTCATTTCCTTCTACCCTGTTCCATCTAACTCTCTAACTTATGCTTGGGAATAAACTTTGTTTTCATGGTAAAGAAGAGAAAAAAGGTAGGAATAGAACAATGACAGGGAACTGCCAGAAATTTAAGAATTCAGAAGAGGCCATGGCACTAGGGATATTATTGTCAGATGAATGTTGGCTGAAAACAGAGAATATCAGAAATAGGGTTACTTGTGTTTTACTGACTATGCAAAAGTACTTGTGTGAATTGTAACAAATTATGGATAACACAGAGAAGAATGGGAATCCCATAACACTTAATTGTGCTCATGTATGTGTGAGACCCATACATAGACCAAGAAACAGGTGTCTAACCAGAATAAGAGAATACTGCATGGTTTAAAATCAGGTATGTGAACCAGGGCTGAATAGGTATTCTTTCTGCATACTTATTCAATCAGTATGCTCAGAAAATAATTTTTAAAAACTAGACTATGCAACAACGAATGAAAGGAAATAAAAAATCTCTGTAAATGTTTATTAAAATTAATAAAATTAAAAATATAGGGGGGCAGCTATTTTAAAAGGCCTTAACATACAATGACAAAAAATATAAAAAAAAAACCCAAACAAAAAAACTAGACTATGTGAAGAAGAATTGGCAGTAGGACTGAAGAAGACACATCAACAACCTGCTTCATGCAGATGACACTACCTTGCTTGGAGAAATGTGAAGACGACTTGAAGTATTTACTGAAGAATCTCAAGACTACATACAACCTTCAATATGAATTACAACATCAAGAAACAAAAATCCTCACCACAGAACCTAATGGCCCTATTAAGTGGAGAAAAGACTGAAGTTGTCAACAACTTTCTTTTACTTGAATCCACACTAAATACCCATGGCAGCAACAGTCAAGAACGTAAAAGATGTGTGGCACTGCGAAAACATACTGTCAAGGACTTCTTTAAAGTGTAAAAGAGCAAGGATGGCAGTTTAAAGACTAAAGTGTGTCAAATCCAAGCCACAGTACTTTCAGTTGCTTCATATACACTGAAAGTTGGACAATGACTAAGGCTAATAGAAGAAGAATTGAAGTCTTTGAATTGTGGTTTTGGAGTACTGAATATTGCATGAACTGCCAAAAGAACAAACAAGTATTTCTTGGAAGAAGTGTAGACAACATGCTAATTGGAGGCAAAGAAGTGAAATTTCATCTCCTGTACTTTTTAATTATAACTGTCATTAAAAAAGGTGATCCAAATATGCAGCCAAAAATATATGGCAAACAGAGAATGTCCATAAAGTCTGGAAATTTATGAACATATATGTCATCAAGGTCAGCTTTCACATTTAGAATAAAATTTTAAAAAATGATGCTTACAGACTTTGTTAACACTTTGCCACACACTTTTAAATTGACAACCATGCTTAGAAACACATTTTGCTGTCATTTGCGGCAACGTGTTAACATCTTGCAGAAATCATCATAAAAGCTCAAAGGCATTTGCTGTGGAATCAGAATTAATTCACAGCTGGCCCTTCACTGGATTTCCTACACTGTAAATTACACGTGAGGATACTGCTCGTCTTGTTCTCCAGGGAGCCACTAGTGGATGGGAACCACTAGAGACACGCGCGTGCAACCTTCGGGTTAGCAGCAAACTACTGCCACCAGAGGAAGGGCTAGTGCCCTAGGGATAAGAAACTGCGCTGGAATCCTAAAGGCACATGGTTCAAACCCACCAGCTGCTCTGTGGGTGAAAGACAGACAATGTCCTTTGTAGGACCAACTGCTTCTAAAAACCTGCTGTGGGTCAAATTCTGACTCAACTGCCACCAGATATACCTAGAAGTGTAAGAGACAGTTAAATAGTTTATTGGGAGTGTATGTGTGTTTTCTACTTGCAGATTTTTAGTTTATAAGAAATATTAGCAAAGGGGTTAAAATACTTGATATGGAAGATATTTTTTCATTCTAAATATATACTCACCTTACCTTTCTGATTGTTTGCTTTTAATTCTATTTCTTAAAGTGCTCGATGGCACACACACACAATGTCAAGAAGACAAAGATTCTCGCCACTGGACCAATTGGTAGCATCAGGATGCATGGCGAAGAGATTGAGATTGTTCACAGCTTCAGTTTGCTCAGCTCCACGGTCAACACTCTTGGCACCAGCAGCCAGGAAATAAAAAAAAGTATTGCGATGGGAAAGTCTGTAGTTAGGGACCTCTCTAAAGTACTCAAGAGCAACGGTGTCTCTCTGGAGACTAAGATCGCCTGATATAGGCCATGGTTTTTGCAATCACTTGTTATGCATCAGAGAGTTGGACAATGACTAGGG